GCTCAAGCACCAGGTTCAGGTATTGGAGATTCAGATGGCCGCGTCCACGAGAGTGAGGCAGTATCTGGAGGCATCTCTCAAAGAGATGACTGTTGAACTCGAGAACTCCGATGGCTCGAAGCAGTCGCTCGAGCAGTATCGGTCACGTTTGGCAAGGGAAAATGCTGGAAAACGCCCGCCTTTCCGAGCTTCTCGAGGACGAAGCGGAAGCTAGGCGAGCAGCAGAGGCAGCGCGGCTCAATGGTGTGCAGGCCATGTGGGACAAGTTCAAGACTACGATTCAGGACGAGCGACAGAACGACGCTCGTCTGGAGGAGTCTCGCAAGGCTTTGGTATACCGTGTATTCCGTTCACGCTTCAGCACACTTAAAAGTCGTTGCAGGTCATTCAGCAGAGGACTGCGAATGTGGAACTGGAAGATCAGCATCGTCAAGTCCAGGAGCTTCTCCTCGCAAAGAAACAAATGCAGTCCGAGATTGCTGACCTTAAGGACAGACTGGAGCTGGAGATTGTTGCGAAGAACGAAGTCACGAGTAGGTCTTCTGTACGTAGGGGTTTTGCCGATTCGCTCATTCTACTGCAGACGCCAAGCGACAACTGCAGCAGTGTCTCCAAAAATTGGAGATCAAATCCTCTGCATCAACAAGGCTGTCCTCCGGTATGTTCTATTCTATTGCGATCCCCTCTCTCATTCTAATAGAGCACTCTTCAGAGCTCCATGAAGCCATGGATTCGTATAAGGCAAAGATCGAGTCGTATATGAAGCAATTGGAGGAGTCGGAGGTTGCCAAAGTCAAGGTCACTCGTGCAGAACAAGCAGGTAAGAAGCATACATCATAGGTCCTTGATCGATCTGACACGTTCCCAGCGCGTCGTGCTCTTGCCGAAGCTGAGAAGGCGCACGTAGAAGGCGCACCTGTAGCTGGCACAGAGATATATCATCTGCTATCATTGCAGCATGTTCTGTGTTATATTCTCGCCTATGACTATAGCACCACGGTGATGCATCGTCTTCTTGTGCTTGCAGTGCGCTGCTGATTAATCATAGCATGGCATGATTAATCTGGTCCTCAATTTCTCAGCGCCAGCCTTTACCCCATCAATCCTGCCCTTTTCATTTTCTCGGCGCCAGCCTTTACCCCATCAATCCCGCCCTTCCCTTCTTTTCGGTGCCAGCCTTTACCCCATCAATCCCGCCCTTCCCTTTTGTTTCGGCGCCAGCCTCCCTATTAATGCTTCGCTTTTCAATTTCGCGGCGCCAGCTTTTATCCCATCATATCCGTTCTCTCGGCACCACCTTTCTCCATCAGTCCCGCCCTCTTCTCCGCTGCCTGGAGACAATGCAAAGACGGTATAAGATGCTGTTGCATACGATATATAATATATTCAGTGCGTGACGCGTATTCTATGCACTATGAGCTGACAAAACATCTATAACATGTGCGATGTATCACGATGCATCGCGTCCATGTGCGCGCTGGAAGCCAGCCACGCAGCCAACGATTAATCCCGATGCATCGCGTCTCTGTGCGCGCTGGAAGCCGGCCACGCAGCCAACGACTAATCCCGATGCATCGCGTCCCTGTGCGCGCTGGAAGCCGGCCATGTAGCGCACGATTCATCACGATGCATCGCGTCCCTGTGCGCGCGATCGCACCGCACACAATGTGTCATATTCTAGTCTTATTATTTCTCGCAGAAGCTGCGTGTAGATATATTTTTCTGAGTCAAGATTGTATGTCAATGATGTATTTATTGATCTTTCACTGCATTGTCTGCTGTACAAATTCCAACTTTTACATTCACCGATATGTCTCCATGTGAGCTTGCAGAAAGCACCTAATGACGTTCGAAGTTCTGCCTGACGCATGGCATATGCAATCAGGCCCTCCTGGTGCTCCTCGGAAGCCACAGGGTTCTGTTCTATCTTGTCAAGCCACCACCTGGCTTGGTAAGCATGGAATGCAATAACACGATGCATTTCTTCTTCAATCAACTGGCATTCCTCAGACCAGCGATTGGCGTGTGCTCTCGCCTTACACCATTCAATGCGTAATGCTAAGAAAATCATCAACACAGTAAGTGAAGTAAAATCGCAAATGCATACCTTCCTGCATGACTTGTTCATCACTTCCAGTGTCCGTGGAACCTATGGCTGTCATTCGCCAAATCCACGACTCGGCCTTCACTCTCTGCGAAAAGCCCTTCTGCCATTCCTCGAATGTCCTCATCATGAAGTGCATGGAGTTCAGATTGCCATGTTCGATCTCCTGTCATGGCACTCAAACGTTCGAGAGCTTGGTGCACAACTCGACATCATGTCACATCTGCAAGAATCTTTTGTTGAACATTGTCAATAATCCCTCGAGCACGGGTATTCAGTCGCTGCCCACGGACAAAGTGGTCCTTGAAACTATAGAGATGCCCACGTAGTCGAAGGTGTCGCCGTAACGCCTCCAATGCGTCATGGCCTTGGGCCTTCCGAAGGTGCATCTCACAGTCAATAAGGAGGGCGTCGCATGAGAGTTGACCGAGAACCTCAGATGGTAAGAGCAGGGGAGAAGTGAGAACAGACATGGCATTGTCGACATTACTGCTCAGGCGAGAGCACAGGGCTGCAACCCCAGGCATGTAGAGGTTCTGGATCTCCATCCAAGCCTCAAGACGTCACTGCAAATTATTTTGACGTTCAAGGAC